TATTTGCCTTTGAATGGACTGAACTAGATAAGAGGGCAGATGCAGTTAACATGGATGCGGCTTCCACAAGAGTTCAAGAACTCACCCACCCTCTTTAGAGAGGCATTGGCTGCAGACCTTGCCAGCTTTCTGAGAGATACCACATGCTCAGCCCTCCTGTGGTATGTAGATGACCTCCTCCTTGCCAGTGACACCCAGGAAAATTGTGCAAAAGGCACAAATGCCCTCCTGCAACTCCTGTCAGACTCAAGATACCAAGCCTAATAAAAAAGGGCACAAATCTGCCAAGAGGAAGTCCAGTACTCAGGCTTCCTCCTCACCCAGGGAGAAAGGGCACCAAGGCCAGAGAAGAAAAAAAGTCGTTAACTCCTTACCCCAGCCCAGGACAAGGGGGAGCATGTGAAAGTTCCTAGGGGCCGCCAGGTTCTGCAAAAATCTGAATTTCCAGATTCTCAGCAATGGCAAGGCCCCTGTGCAACCTCCTGGGGGTGGGGGGGGGCAGACTGAAAGCCCCTGCCTGGACAAAAGAGGCAAGAGCCACCTTCCTGGAAATAAAAACTGCTTCAGAACAGGCACCAGCCCTAGGCCTACCAGATATGAAAATGCCCTTCAGTCTCTTTGCTACATAATAAATGTAGCAATTCTGCATTGCAAAAATCATCAAAAAGAAAACAACCCTACAGCACACGGAAATGGGATGGCAGATAAAGCTGGCAAAACAGTAGCCAGTTAGGAGGCAGAGAGAGCTCCTTCCCTCACTGTGGCCCTAACACCCTGGTAGAGGCCCCTCCACCCAGGTACACTGAAAAAGAGAAAGACTGGAGCCCTTTAACTAACAACAGATGGTGGATGTTGCCAAACAGACGTATCTTTGTCCTGACTGCAACCGGGAGGCAACTAGTCAGCAAATACCACCAGCTCACCCACCTGAGAAAAACTGCACTGGAAGGCCTTCTCAAAAAGCAATACTACATCAGCCAGTTGCCAGCACTATGCTGAGCAGTGAGTAGACAGTGTGTAACTTGTGCCAGAAATAATACTTGGTCTGCACCATGACTCCCCTGGTGTCCAAAGAATGGGAGTTGCCCCCTTTGAAGACCTTGAGATAGACTTCACGGATGTCCAGCCAAGCAGGAGACTCAAATACCTCCTGGTAATAGTGTGTACGTACTCTGACTGGGGCGAAGCCTTCCGAACCAGAACAGAACAGAGCCGGGAGGTAGCCAAAGTCCTCCTGAGAGAAATTGTGCCCTGGTTTGGCCTACCGTCCACAATCCACAGTGACAATGAGTCTGCCTTTGTAGCGGATGTAGTGCAAATGTTAACTAAATTCCTCAATATTACCTAGAAACTTCACACTGCATACAGGCCACAGAGTTCAGGGAAAGGAGTGAATGAACTGCACCCTAAAAAGAACCCCAGTACATTCCTTCCAGGCTAGGGACTCAGTCTGAGTTAAAAATTAGAAAGAAGACCCCCTCAAACCTCAGTAGACTGGCCCCCACATTATTGTTCTAACTACTCCTACTGCCCTCAAGGTTGCAAGCATCACTCCAGGAGTCCATCATTCCTGAGTATAAAGAGCCTGTCATCCTGACAAGGAAGCACATCAGCAGGAGGCCCAGCCAGATCTCCAGATCCTCTCCACCTCCGCATCAGATAATTGCCCTCTGACTAATAGACACCTGCGCGTGGTAGATCCTGGCTTTCGTTGGAGTAGTGTCTTTTATTCTGGGCATTGGACTCTGTGCTGTTGCACCCTTGGACTGGACTATTCCTCAAAAAAGTTGCCCTTTCTATTGGGTAACCGTTTTACTGTGCTTACCTGTCTCTCCTAGCTGGACCCAAGTCTCAGCCTGCATTTCCAAAGTACCTCTCTGTAATGTTTAATTGTATAAAAGTTATGAAGTGCATAGTGGGCTAAAGAGAGCTAACTCCTTTCCCCCTGTGAGATTTCCTAGGCAGAACAAGCTGCCCCTTTACTGATCCCTGCTCAAGTCGGGCTCAGTGTAGCCGGATCAGCTGCAGTAGACACAGCAGCTCTAATAAAGAGACTTAGGGCCTGATGCCCTAACAGAGGAAGCTGATCAAGATTTAGAGCAGCTTGAAACCACCATGATTCAGCTGCAAGATCAGACTGATTCCCTGGCTAAAGTGGTGCTGCAAAATTGTAGAAGACTGGACCTCCTGTTCATGTCACAGGGAAGCTTATGTATAGCCCTTAAAAAAGATTGTTGTGACTTATCTATCCAAAGTTAAAGAAAACATCCAGCATAGGTATAAAATGTTAGAAAATAAAAGGTCTTAGTTCCAGGGATGGTTTGAATAGAATCCATGGCTAACAACTCTTCTAACTGGCCTTGCTGGGCGAGCGATTCTGCTGTTCCTTTAAACTATTAGTGAAATCCTGTATATTTAACTGGCTCATTAACTTTATTGAGGATTGTGTTTCCTCCATACAGCTTATGTATATGTAGAGCCACTATGACCCTGTCATAAGCCAAGGAGATGATGCCCCCTAAACGAAGTGTTTGAAGGGGCATCAGAGGGGGAAGTGATAGGGAAAATTTACAAGGACAGAAACCTAGCAGGTGGCTCCACTCTGTCTCACACCCCTCCCTCCTCAACATAAACAGCACTACAAGGACAGCAATTTATGAGGTGGCTCCCCTCCGCCTCGACCCCCTCCTCAACCCAAACAAAAAAACACTCCCTTGGTTTCCCTTTGCTGCCAAGCACCGGGTCCCAAGGTTTGCTCCCTTAAACTCCCTCCCCCTTGCCTGCTTTCTTGCTGTGCATGTAGGAATGTTACAGATAAGGTAGCAGAAAGGTATAAATTGCTCCCTTTTCCTTTGCTCGGGGCTCAGACTTTTTGGGAGATTACTCCCCTCTGAGCCCGTCGGTGTGAAATAAAGCCTCAACACTCCAAGACCTCTGAGTGCCGCTTGGTTTTTTCCATCGGTGATCCAGTCCAGGCTTTTTTTCAGTATTTTCTGTAACAATGCAAAGGGGACAACTCCTGAGGGTACAAAAGACCCAGAGAGGAGAAGGCAGCGGTAGATTGCACCAAGCCTCTCAAATACAGTCCCTGATCCATAACAAAATGTTTCAGGCTGATGTTATCTGAGAATCACCCCATACTCTGGAGCCATCAACACTTACATCCCCCTAACTGGAAGTGGATGCTCATCAGTTTTATTCAAGAAAGAGGCCCTACTGAGTTCTACCCAGCCTCAAAATCCCAAGGGAGTTGTGTCAAAGGATGTAATGCCATGGCCCAGAGCACAGGGCCATTCATTACCTTTCCTCCTACATTCTCTTTCCTAAAGTGTAAAAATACATTGTAATGGCACAAACCATATGTAAAAGGTCTCTATTCATGAAACTGTAGCATAGGGAACTTATATTCTATTTTGCCATTTTCTGATCCCAGACACCAGAATTAATTTTCCAGGCCCAATCACCATCTTGCCTCTTATTACTCCCTAGAAATGGCTGCTGGATCTCTGTCAGTGATGATATTTTCCTCCTGGTGTTAGTCCAACCTAGCACCATTTACTTACTAGCAGAGGATAGCCCTAGAACACAGCTGTAGAGATAGTCAAAAACGGATTGCTCACAGGGCCCACTTTCCTCACTCTGGATGGAAAGTCAAAACACATTCTAACCTAGTCACTCCAAAAACTTAACTTAGTCTATTAAGAAATAGTTTCCATAGGAAATATATATCTAGTTTCATTACATAAGTCTGCAGAAAAATTATTTGAAATAAAAATTTTAAGAAAAGATTCTACTACAAAAAAAGTGTGGTTTTTCTTTTTCAAATGTGTTTGAGCATGTGAATTATAGTGACCCATATTTGTGTGAAAGCTCTAAAAACTAAAAAGATCTTTATATCTTATGGGTTAATAAGTATTTAAATTTTCAATAAGTCTTTTCTTCTAAGCAGGTAGTTTTATAGAGGTGCAAATGTGATTCAAATCAATGAGTATGGTAATCATTGTTCCTCCCATCTCTTCACTGCTCAAGCTCAACATAATATGTTTCAAAAATTGAAGAATCCTGTTTGAATTATGCTCATGGCTTTTTGGCTTTCTGCACACTAGATGGCACTATATATACATTATTTCATGGGCAAGGAACCCACACATAGCTTGGTATTGCAGCCAAATATATACCCTTAGAAGAAAAAAGAAAAATAATGGATGTGATTTGGGAATGTATTGGAAAGATGAAGGGAGCAGAGGAAAATGATTTTTCAGTGATGGATACACAGGAGATGATCTTTATGAAATTTTTTTATATGTTGGTTCCAAATAGGGAGACAAAGAAGGTATTTTACAGCTGCAAGGTATGTCAAATCTCCAAATAGCTCTACCTACCAGGCCAGGCAGAACTGAACGAAATCAGCCTATTGTCAATAGACACTGGCTGAAAACAGAATTCCCCTGCTGTACTCAAGAACCCACTTAAAATAGCTGCTTAAGTAATGTTCCCTAATATTCACTTAATAAATATAAACTGATCACAGAAACTGTGTCTTATCCTGGACACTGTGAGAGCACACAACACACACAAACACACAAACACACCTCAATATACACAGCACACAACATGACTGTACACACAATATATACATGTTCATACACACAACACTCAGCAAAGAACACATGCACATAATATGCAACACATTTAAACACACAACACACAGCATACACAGAAAACGGAAACATATGATGCATACTTGCACATACAACACACTTCATACACACACGTATAAGTTCATTACACTCAGAGCACATACACACTTCTACATGAACACACACACACACACACACACACACACATTCATACACCCCAACACCATGAATATCTAGCTTACCAAAATGATTCACTTGCAAAGGAAGGCAGCACATAAAACAAGGAAAGGTATAGCAGGGACCCCCTAGACAACAACTTGCCTTGGCCTCCAGTCATCTTCCTACAGATCCAGAAAGGAAAATTTTTAAAACCTTTAATTTTAACATGTTCCTCATAAAACAGGAGTAGCAAATATTAAAGAATACATTAATATTTTATATATTTTAAAGACTCTAATCTCTCTTGCACATTGTAAAATTATACAGGAGATCATGGTAGAAATCAGTTTGCATTTGTCACATCACTGTGTTTACAATACTCTTTGGTGCCTTTAATGTAAATTATCCCGAAATGTTCTGGGTGGGTGTAGTTTCCTTCCCTCTGGAGATAACTTTTTTTTTTAAAGCATGACCAGTGTATAAGAACACCTATTCAGCTTGGTGTCCAAGGATATTTTAATTGGTAGCTTTACTGGTTTTGTGCTGACACCCACGTCCCATTGACGACTCTGACAGTTTTTGATTCCATTAAGTGTTCTGCAGCACTTCTCCCCTATTGAAAGTAAAGCAATGTATTTATTCTTTTAAGGTGAACATAGGTATTGGCTTTGCACATGTTAATTATATCCTGAGGTACTCACTTTCCTGTGATAGACATCACAACAAATATCTATGACCATACACCTCCTGCAAGTCCAAAAGTTTGAGAGGTGGTAGGGTTGTAGAACCACATTTTAAATGTGCCCTTTTGTTCACACACCTCCTCTCTATCCACTGAGATGGAAGAATTTTATGAAATAACACAATTGGTGTACTATATTTATTTTGGTAATCTAGAGCCGAAGTATTAGAAGTTTTTGTTTTTTTTTTTGAGAGCGCATCTCTCATATTTATTGATCAAATGGTTGTTAACAACAATAAAATTCTGTATAGGGGAGTCAATGCTCAATGCATAATCATTAATCCACCCCAAGCCTAATTCTCGTCAGTCTCCAATCTTCTGAAGCATAACGAACAAGTTCTTACATGGTGAACAAATTCTTACATAGTGAATAAGTTCTTACATGGTGAACAGTACAAGGGCAGTCATCACAGAAACTTTCGGTTTTGATCACGCATCATGAACTATAAACAATCAGGTCAAATATGAATATTCGTTTGATTTTTATACTTGATTTATATGTGAATTCCACATTTCTCCCTTTATTATTATTATTTTTTTTATTTTTAATAAAATGCTGAAGTGGTAGGTAGATGCAAGATAAAGGTAGAAAACATAGTTTAGTGTTGTAAGAGAGCAAGTGTAGATGATCAGGTGTGTGCCTGTAGACTATGTGTTAATCCAGGCTAGACAAGGGCAATAAAACATCCACGGATGCAGAAGATTTCTCTCAAAACAGGGGGGGTGAGGTTCTAAGCCTCACCTCTGTTGATCCCCAATTTCTCACCTGATGGCTCCCCTGTGACTGTGCCTGTCTTAGGTTGTTCCTCCCTTGAGGAATCTTACCCGTCTCTGGCTAACCAGTCATCTTCCGGGGCCATACAAGGAGATGTAAAGCTGGTAAGTAAGAGAGAAGCCATATTGTTTGAAAAGGTTAGCTTTTTACTTCTTTGCAGATTTATGCCCTGTGGCTTCTATGCCCAGCATTTGTCTTGAGGTATCTTTACCACTTGGAAGAATTATGATACTCAGTAAATTCGATATGAGGCACAAATTCTATTTAAGGGTTGTAATTAGGAAGGAAGAAGAAAAGCTATAGAGGTAGCAGACGGAAGAAAACATGGGAGGATTGATTATTTCTTTGACATATCTTCTTGTAGAGTAACTTAACCATGTATAGGTTTTAAACTACTAATTAAATTGTGCACACACATTAACATAATAGAATACAGTTACATAAACAAAGAAGATCTATAATTACCAGTGATCTCCAGTGAAGCGAAGAAAACCAGTTAGGCACCCTAGGCATTTGTGAAAATTTGTCTATGATATGATGGATATTGTCCAACTGTACTTGAACAGTCTAAGAGAAATCAGACAAATTAAAACAACCCATTCCTGGGAACTGTTCACATCCCATATGTTCTTTCAACAGTAGATGGTCTGTAGTTGTAAGATTTTGGAGTGCTACAACTTGCACTTCTCCTAATTCTTAGTTGAGTTCCAACAGTATAGATCCAGTCAAATTTGTTGTTTTACTGAAAGCACAGGCCAGCTTAGATATCTCCTACCTCATTCCAATGGGAAGTCCAGGAACCGGTGGGATGGATGCAGCTACAACTGCAGCATCGCCTTGATCTTTGTTGAGGTTTTTTGATGATCATCTTCTGGTATGAGTCTTCCAGAGAGTGCTGATGTTGGAAGTTCTTCTTCATATCATATCTTAGTTCATTTTCTGGGTAGCCAAATTAGGCTTTGATCCTCTGTATAAACACAAACAGACCCTTGCCCATACTTTGATACGTCCTTTATATCATTGTGTAGAACGCATTGGAGGTCACCACACAGGAACTGGTTTTTTTTTTTTTAAGAGAAAGGAATATTGTCAGAAAAGTCTACATCCATAGCTGATCATCTGACACCCTTTAAGTGATCAAAATTAAGGATATTTAAAGCATGCATTAATTTTTGACTTACAGTTAGTTTTATTCTATCAGGGAGTAATCCCCCTTTTCTTTCTTTTTTTCTTTTTGGTATCTTTAATCTACACTTACCTGAAGAATATTATGTTTACTAGGCTCTCCCCTATACCAGGACCCCCCTATAAACCC